GTTTTGAACTCTAGATGGGAAGAATTGGAAGCAAAACTTTATGTATATAAAGAGATAAGACATTTAAGCATGATTGTTTAAAAAAAGGGTGTTACAGAAAATTAAGAAAAGAATCAAGCAATATGACTTGCGGTCTAGAATAGTTTTTTTCTTTATGTGTACTAGAGAAAATGAAGCTCAGTGTAAATTACTATATAATGGGATAATTGAAAGAGGAATGATAACTTTAATTTGGTAATGTTCTACCCTTTCTTGCTTCTAGTTTTTATTTTTAAATTTCCTTCTTTTTTTGGAAATTCTCAAACATGAATACAATTAGCCTTTAGTTGGATAGTAATAACAATATTAGTATAAAAATTGTAAGAAGCAAGGAAGTAGATAATATGAGGTTATTTAAATAAAATACTATAGCTACAGGTCAAGTAGCGGTTAAAAGGGAATAGGTAAGAAAATAATTACTGTCTCAGTAAACTAACAAATAATTTGTAACGAAAGTAAAAATGAACTAATCTGTTAAGTAGGTGGCATGGTGTTGGTTTTCCATGATTACTGTAACAAGCTTAACCAGTAATATAAATAAATTACAAGTCTGTAAAGTAAGATATATGGGGATAGAAAATATGAGTTTTATTTGAATAAAATGCTACAGATATTTGTTAAGTAATTGTTAAATAAGAATAGATATTTTAATAAATGGAGTTTCTAGTAATTGGTAAAAATGAATTTAATCGCCAAAGTTACCCTTAAAGATTGTTATGAGTTTAAATATATAGATGAACTGAAAACTACAGAACGCAATTGTTAAGTTTTGATTTACCAAGTTGAAAATGCTTTTCTGACAAATGAGGTATTTAGATGTCAGATCAATTGAATGTGTAGGTTTTTTTCTGTTAGGCGTCATTTATTGGGCAAAGATGAGAAAATTAGAATGAATTTGTTATATTTGTGTACTTTGCTGTAGATAAGACAAGTTGAAGTTGTCTCTTTTTATGTTTGAAAACCAATAAAAATATTATTAATAAAAAGGGACCCTTTAAATGCTTTTGGTAAGAAGCAGGGGTGCCAATCTCCCAATGTGATGATGTCACTTCTGTATGATGTCACCACATTGGGGACGTCCTTGGCCCCTCCAGTATTGCCCCTCAGAATCTCCTGCTGGGGACTTGGAAGGACCTGGCAACCCTATTACAGATAACAGATACTGGAAAAGGATTTGGCAGAAGGTCTGGGTAGCTAGAGAGAACTCCCTTACAAGTCAAATAGTAAAAGGAGTTATTGCTTCTTAGGGACAAGGAGACTAACTTTCTGCCAGTGAAAAGGGTTGGGAAGAGAACCCTTGTCTGTGATAAATGGGAGAAATGTAGACACCTCAGGAGTTAGTGAAAAATTGTAATATCTAAAGGGAAAATCTAGATCTCTGAAGGGAGAAACCTAGAAGCATTAAAACAAAGCTATTCTCTAAGAAACTGTATTCAAGATTCTGTGTAACTGCTGAAATATATAAGCAAAAACCTTTCACTGAAAAGAACTTGAAACTCTGAAAATAAGGTACAATACTATCTTGTTTGTTCAAAAACCTCAATATACACAAACGCATAGAAGTTTTACCTCCGCAACCTTGAATCATCATATATCCCCTGCCTTATTAAAATATTCTGTTTTTGAAAGGTAATTTTGCCTCATGTGCCATTTCATGAGGATATTTTAAAATAAGACAGCTCCTGTATTCTCTGTAGTTCCTGTACTGGGTCATAAGCCTAAACTAATATCTATGACAGGGTGGGACAGTAAAAGCTCGTAAAATCAAGAAGAAATACATGCTACTGAAAGGCAGCTCAGTCACTGAGGGGAACTAAAGATATTTTTGGCAGGAAAATCTGCTTGAGAGTGGGGAAGCGTCAGGAGCCTTTCATAGACACAGCAAAAAAAGAGCAGTTTTGGCATATTCGACAAATAGATGGCTCAACAGGAACATATAAATTACTTTCTTATTCTAAATACTATCGATTAGAGTATCATCTCTGATAATTCCCAACATATAAAAATAACAAGAAGACTGGACTTTGGACTATTTTTTCTTCAGATGACGGGAACCATATAGGAATCAGCACACTGGAAAACAAAAACACAGCTCCTGGGCAACCCCCCACCTCACTTTTTTAATTTCTTGGCCTTCTCCAGGTGAAATATAACAGACTAGTATAGACTATTAAGAGTGTGTGTGTGTGTGTATGTATATTCTTTTTAATAATAATATAAAATCTTTCCCCCCATTTTTGTTTTTTGTTTCTTCACATTCTTTTTCTCTCTCCCCTCCCTTCCCATTCCCGGTTTTCAATTCCCCTTTCCCTTATTATTTCTCTCCCCCTCCCTTCCTTATTAAATTTAAAAATTAATAGAAGACATAAAATGTTTTGCTGGTGACATAATCATGATTATAAAATTATGTTTATGAAATAAGCTACATTTTTCAATTTCATTTCTTTCACTCTTATTTAAGATGGCATCTCTCCCTGTTATAACAGATATTCATTATCATTTGGTCATTTTAACAATATAAAATGTGATAGTTGTAAATTCCTATATCTGCATAGAAAAAAGTATATGGAAATAGTATATGGAAAACTTGTATAATATTTTTTAGAAATGGAATGGCAAAAAAGAATAATGGCATCTGGAAAATGTCAAAAATTTAAAAGGAAAGTATACCATATTACATACAATATAGGGATACCATATAAAGAAACACCCTATTACCTTTTAATATACTTTCCCCCTATTTTTTATATTTCCCCTTTACCCATTAAATTCATTTAACATTTTGCTAACAGTTTAAATATTACATTCTCCATTAAATACGGTCTTACTTTATCACAACTACTGTATAACAACAAACCTCCCTTTCTTGACTTAACATCTCAGACCTTCTAGCATTTCTCTATACAGCCTTGCCTCTTACTTCTTTTTTTTAGCTCTTTACTAGTTCCATCGTCCTGTTAATACCCTGATTAATTAAATTTTTCCCTTTAACAGCCTACTCATTCTTACTACTTTCAGGTTCATTAATTCACACCTATCATTTTCACAATTTAATCTCCCCACTTACAGATTTATAATCACCACTCTCACTCTTTACACCTATCATTATAAAATTTAATCTCACCATTTACAAAATTATAATTCAATCACTACTTTCACTCTTTTCAATCATACATTATTTCATTGATCTATTCCACCTTCCCTTTCCATCTCTTCTTAATTAATTATCTGTCATCTATCATTCCAAATATTTTATTCTTTACCCCAATCTTATTAACATCCCGATTGCTTAATTGTCCCTTCCCAATCAATCCTTACATTTATACTCCTACCAAATTAATAAAATATCACCAAACATTTCTATAATTATATATAAATTAATTTCCCCCTTAATAAATATTCACACTCATTCTTTCACTCATACTGCTAACAGTATATTTGACTATACCCAAATAACATCATTATAAATAAGATTATACATTTGTACATTTGACATGATTTTTTTAAAGTTACTCCTATCCATCCTCACACTCATTCTTTCAAACATCTCTTGTTAAGTTACTTATAGTATATGCAGTCAATATTAATAAGACAATTTATCCAACTACCACCGTTATCGAAAATAATTCATTTGTAGAACAATTTTATGGGGTCTTTTTTCCAAGTAATCCTACATCTAGCAAGCACCATATTTTACATTTTATACAGTTTGTTTTTCTCTTTCTGTCTTCGTCTTCTGCTCTTCTGCCTCAAACCTTCCACTTGTCTGCGATCTTTACACATTCTTTGGACTCCTAAACTTTCTGTTCTGTACCTCCACCTTTCATCTTTCCAAAGTTTACAACCTTCTTTCCTTGTCTTCTGCCGCTTTCTGTGCCTTTCAATCCTTCCCTCTCTCTTGCTTCCTATTTTCTGTCCAAATCTCTTCCTCTTTAACTGTCTCTTTAACAGTCTGATTGTGTTTCTGGGCACTTTGCTGTTTAGCCTCTCTTTTTTTCTCCCCATTGAGTACGCTGTCTATCGGTTGTGCATTTCCTGGTCGTTCTGCCACAGATATGACCTCTTCCCCCTTTTGTATTTCTTCGGGAGACACTGTGTGCAAATTTTGTCCCTGGTTTGCACCTTCTCCTATTCCATTCTCCACATGAAATTTCCCCAGTATCTCTTTAAATGTCTCTCCACAGCTTCTCTGAACAGCCTCCTGAATTGTCTTTCTTATGGCTTTCAAAAATTCTTCCATCTTTGTTAGCAGTCTCTGCCCCTTTCTCTTCTATTAATAGTCTGAACCAACACAGGCTTCCGGTCGTGCCATGATGGCGAATTAAAGCGCCCTCGCAATTTTCCGGGGGTGGTCGGCGGCTCTTTAGACAGTTTGGGCAGTTTAAAGCCCAAAGCAACGCTCCCCAGAGAGGGGGGGTGTCCAGCAGGCAGCTGTGCCCAAGCGGGAGTAAGAGATTGGCCTGATCAAGTCTCGGAAGAAGCTTGTTTCAGGCTTTGATCTTCCACGAAGAGGGCGCATTTCTTGACAACTGTTTAAGTATGGTGTGTGATACAAAGCATTCTACCTTAACATAATTTAAAAGGTGTTTGTTTTTCTGGGCCCATAACTGAGAATATACAAAGCAGATGAGCTTAATGGGTTTCTGTGATGGAACTATGAAATGTTTGTTCTGCATGCCAATTCTACAGCCAGCTTGGTCAGCAAAAATCCAAGATGCTCAAGCCTTGGTCCTTTCCTTCCCTAAAAGATGCATCAAGACCAATTCTCATCTTTTATCTTACCTTCTTCTTTGAACTCAGTATGAGTTTACCCAACTTTACCTTTGGGCCATTTTCCTGGTAGTATATGCTGACAGTGTTAATGAGATTAACCACTTTCATTCCTGACCTGCCTTGACATGAAAGAAATACTAATTGCTTAATTGCAAAAGGGGAACTTCAAAAAAGTACTGGAGATAGTTTTAGACCCCGCAGGACATCACTTCTGCTTCAAGTGCATTATTTTCTTTGGGAGGTGAAGGCACGTCCTGCAATTTAGGAGCATAAGATCTCTGACTCATTACAATGGCAACAAGTTGCCTACTGCTGAAACTGCTCGCTCAGCTGAGAAGGCCCAATTCAAGGTCTTGGTATGGACCTTTAAAGCCCTATGGGGCTAACATTCCTTAAGGACTGCCTTCTCCCATATGAACCTATCCATCTGCTCTGGTCTTCTTCAAGGACCCTGCTTTGGGTGCCCCCACCACCTGAGGCTAAATGCATGGCAACTGTCACCAGACTGAAACTTTGCTGCTCCCTCCTCCAGGAGAATTGGTTGCCTCCCTCTAGTATAGTCTTCTGCCAGCAGGTGAAAACTTCTTCATGTTGTTTGGCTTCCCCCTCTAACTGTTACCGGTTATCCTCCCTGGTTGTGCTATTATGTGTTTAAATGGTTGCATGTTTATAATGTTTTATTGAACTGTTTAAATATTTTAAACTAGGGTTGCCGGGCATTCTCGACACGCTGGCGGAGGGGGAGTGATCCAGGAGGGGGAGAGGCCCCACCCCCAAACAGGAGCACTGCAGTGCAACATCCCTGACATGATGACATCATCACGCCAGGGACATTGCCACACGACATTCTGGTTTAAGGGCAAAAACTGTATAGTTTTACCATACAGTTTTGGCCTCTTTTGCATTTAAACTAGAGCACTGCGCAGTAATGTCCTCTCCATGGTGACAGCACTCACGTGTAACATCATCACAGTGGGAACGTCACCACATGACATCCCTATTTGGGGCGGGGCTTCCCCTGCCAGCCAGAAGCTCAGCAAATCACGGGATCCCATAGCCAGATAAGGAGTCTGTCAACCCTATTTTAAACACACACATTATAAATGCTGTTTTAATGTCTTGATTTTTTAATGGTGAAATGTTTAATGTTTGGTGTTCGCTGCGTTAGGACCACATGTGGATAGAAAGGCAGCACACAAATGTTTTAAGAAAATAAATAAACTTTGCTATTTACATGCTATCTAGATAAACCTAGAAAAAATATACTTGTTAATATCTAAGGTCAGAATGCTGTTTTATGCTTCCACTTTATGTACCTTAATTTATTTTATATGTAAATAAATATTATTATTTCCGTTAAGGGGGAGTGTGGGCACTGGATTATTCAAAATCTAGAAACCCACAACTGCCTTGAACAAAAGCTTGAACATATTTGATCTTGATACATAGGTGCCATTCCACTCCAGTGCTCCAATAAATATCACCTAAATAATATTACCTACTCAGATTTAGGTGGGGGAAAAATGTCTAGAGAGTTGCAGACTTCTGACTCATTGAGGAACCCATATTTGCGTGAATGTAAAAAATAAAAAAGAGGTTGGAATAGCTCCTGAAGTCAGATGAAAGCTGGTTTTGCTTACCCAAGACCAAAGACTTTAGTAAATCCTAGAAAGGAGAAGGGTTTTGTCTTGGTTGTCTGAAGGAGGCGTCAACAAGATTTCCAAATTTTCCTTCCTTCCCCACCACCCATCCGATAATTCCTCTTGTGTTCTCAGTTTATTCTTATTTCTAAGAAGCCTAATATTTTTAGATACTACAATACCAGCATTCAGAAGAATGAGCTACCTACCAACATAGAAGTCTTCAGAGCATGATCGTTGACATGTGAAGCTCCTGGAGGAAAGTCAGAGGGTAGGCCCACTGCTGGATCACTGCTCCTCCTCACTAACAGTGGTGTCCCTAAAAGTAAGAACCATGAAAGGTCAAACATGAAAGGCGGCAATACAACACAAAGAAATTCAACACAACAGGCAGACAGACCACTCATGTTCCCAAATTTCTAAAGATTCTAAAAGATTCTTGCAAATTTAGAGCTAACAGTATTACTTACATAATTCTCAGTGTCTAAACTTGGTTATACCATCTCTGCATTGAGCAATTAACTGTCTAAAGGCTAAAGTAGGGACTAGAAGAACAAAAAAATATTTTAAAAAGAGTTAATTTTTTGGAAAACATAATTAGACATCATTTGCTTTTTACAGTAGCAAAAAGAACTAGGAACTGAACTTAATACGATGGAAATTCCAAGAAGAAAGAGTATGATCCATTTGGGACTCAGACAATCAACAGTTTGTTATCCAGGATCCCAAATTAATATCAGTATTTATGCGTGTTTCACAGACTACTGCTCCTCTCTCCAGCATTTACTCTTCAAATCTATTCATACCGCTAACATTTGTCAATATATTCTACACACTCTTAATTTTCAAGGCCAAGCAAAAACTTCAGATATTCCAATACGCAGCTACCACGCTGCGTCAACTAAAATCTTGAGAAATGAAAAATGAGAATTCCTTCCTTCTAATGTGCTTTAAAAAACAAACAAACCCTTAATTCAAACACTATGGATGGGAGTTTTTTCCCCTTCAACTCTTTCCAGATTAATTTATCATTGGACCAGGGCCAACAGTAAAAACTAATTGGCCCAAAACGATTTGTAAACAACTGGAAACAGGATAATAAAATAACAGAACACTTGTGCAGTACGGTCTAGATAACTACAAAATTCATTGATTGTAATTATAGTCACTGAATTCAGCAATTCTATGTATATAACATGTATACATATGTAACTCCCATGCGAAAAGAAAATACGGTCTAGATAACTACAAAATTCATTGATTGTAATTATTCATTGATTGTAATTATTCATTGATTGTAATTATTCATTGATTGTAATTATAGTCACTGAATTCAACAATTCTATGTATATAACATGTATACATATGTAACTCCCATGCGAAAAGAAAATCCATTCAGTTAAGCTATCTAATAAACATTGTAGGTGAAACCAATATAGAGGTTGCTGTTTCCTGTCTATACTCCATTCAGGTACCATAATCTCAGTTACCCTAGTTCAAGCACTACAAATATACTTTGTCCCTAACCTTTTTTCCTTCCTTTACAGGGACTACTGTATGTGAATGACGGGACAGTCACAGAAGCTATATTCTTCCCTTCAATGGTATGATTTTAAGGTTAAAGACCTACAAGTGGCAGTATTACCAGAAGAAACAGAATACTTATGCCACAACACACTTCTTTGGTTAAACTCTTCTGGTTTTCACCTGAAACAAGCAAGATAACAACCCACAGAATTTTTATTTATACAGTAGGTAGGGTTGCCAAGTGCCATTTTCACCCCAGCGGGGGACTTTGGGGGGTGTTCCCGGAGGGGGCGGGGCATCCCCGATGTGATGACGTCATGTTGGGGATGTCCCCCCCCCACCAGGCCGGATTTAGACTTGCTGAGGCCCTAAGCTATACAAAACCCAGAGGACCCCTACTGTTTTAAATTACATCAGCTGGTCTCAGAAAAAATTAAAATATATATGCCTTTTTAATATTTAAAATCATTTTTATATTGTGTTTTTATTCGAGGCCCCAGCAGATTGCGAGGCCCTAAGCTGTAGCTTATTTAGTTTATGCGTAAATCCGGCACTGCCCCCCGCCCGCTCTTC